TAAAAAAATGAAACAGTTTTTTTTTTTTTTAAATAAAGAATTTAGTAAATTTTGTATGTACTCTCTCTATCTGTTGGCTATATATTTTATACAAGCCAATCACAGTATGAAACGTGGTTCATAAGGGAAAGTTTGGGGAGTCAGTAAAGGTCTTCAGTCATCAACAAACATGTGGCAACTCGTATCAATGGCGATAGATCTGCGAGACACTAGAACAATCAAGATGTGCAGGGTGACGTGGCCAAACGGTTGCTTACAATTTAAATTCAAATTCAATGGAAGCAAACTATTTAAAGTCATGTTCAGTGATCATGGAGATTACCCCAGCAGTTATCACCCACTTCGACGGTTATCAACAGAGTCAATAAATAAAGGAGAAGGCTAATAGTGAAAGGGACCAGAACCACATTCAAAAACCAGTTTATTTACTTTACATTTTTCTTTATAGTCCTTGATTTTCCAATCCTTTGCTTTATTGCACTGCATTTCAAATTTCTAAGGATAGTTCTAAGTTAGTCTGCTGCTGTAACCAGGGACGAAACCAGGATTTATACACTGGGGGGCCAAGTCGAGACTAGGCATACATGTATGGGTCAGATTAAGTCTCAAGTCTCGATCCAAAACGGTTCATACAGAATGATAGAAAATTTTCATATAGAATGATATGATTTATAAACCTTTTACTTTAAGGTTAAACACTTGTGAAGATAACTTTTATTTTATAAATTTTGTTTTAATGTTTTTTTGTTTATACATATGTATATTAAACTACTAATTAAAATGATTGACCAACAAAATTAGTTCTATGTATGTTCATTAATCACTCAATAGTAAAACAAATATAAACAGCAAACTTTTACTGCTATTTCGAACCATTTGGGATTGACTAATAAAATAAATAAACTATTACTTTTACTTCATATCATATTACTGTCCTGCAAAGAGAAAAATGGCTGTTAGAGAATGGAGGGGGCCACGTTAAGGTATTTACAGGAAGTAGCTATACAATCTATAATATTTTAAAGTGAAGCTTGAAAGCCGGGGGACCACGGCCACCTATAGTCTCAACATAGTTCCGTCCCTATGCTCTGCAGATAACAAAAATCTGACATAATAACTTATAAAAATATCTTCGTGATCAAAATCATAGTGCATAAAATCTATACTCCGTAGATAATAAAAATCAAACATAATAACTGATAATAATATCCCCATGCTCGGAACAATAATTCATAAAATTCATACTCTGTTTATTCAAGGGAGCAAAGAGAGTTTGTGCGTGGATCTCAATGTCGGGCAACGTGAATCATTGCTTGATTGAAATAAGTCATGGGTATGGCTTCTGGAAAGCTTTAATTAGAGTTTATTATCATGTTCAGCACTAACATGCACCCATGAATAAACAATTCCCAATCAGAGAATCACGCGAAGTAAAATACTTTGATGATCTTATCTTGTTGTTTGTTGAAATTTGTAGCAATTTACAAATCGAAGTTAAGCCGAGATTACTGTTTCTCTTCACTTTTTGAAATTTATAGCAATTTACAAGTCGAAGTTAAGCCGAGATTATTGTTTCTCTTCACTTGTTGAAATTTGTAGCAATTTACAAGTTAGAATTAAGCTGATTCCTTATCTTCACTTGTTGAAATTTGTAGCAATTTACAAGTTGAAGTTAAGCTAATTCTTTATCTTCACTTGTTGAAATTTGTAGCAATTTACAAATCGAAGTTAAGCCGAGATTACTGTTTCTCTTCACTTTTTGAAATTTATAGCAATTTACAAGTCGAAGTTAAGCCGAGATTACTGTTTCTCTTCACTTGTTGAAATTTGTAGCAATTTACAAGTCGAAGTTAAGCCGAGATTATTGTTTCTCTTCACTTGTTGAAATTTGTAGCAATTTACAAGTCAAAGTAAAGACGAGGTTATAGTTTGCACACTTATAGCAATCTACAGGATGATCCAACCAAAGAAGATGCTTAACACTTGTTGAAATTTGTAGCAATTTACAAGATAATGTTAAGCCGACATGTGATCATCTGTTAAAATTTGTAGCAATTTACAGGTTGAGGTAAAAGCTAAGTATATTGTTTAAACACTTGTTGAAATTCATAGCAATTTACAAGTAGATCATTGTTATAACTTGAAGAAAAATTACAGTATATATTAACACTTGTTGAAATTTGTAGTAATTTACAAGTAGGTTAGACCGAGATCGCTGTTTAAATACTTGTTGAAACTTGGAAAACAGTTTGCAGAATTGACATTAAAACAATATATGTTTTTACACTTGTTGGAATTTATGAAGAGTTTACAGATCTGTATCTTGCCGAAGTGAAGTTGGATGTTATCTCACCCGAGGTGCGTAACCCCGAGAAGATTATACAAAGAAAGCAAAATGGAAAGGCATGCAAAAAAAATTCTAAGTATAGAACTATACAGAAGCAATCAACAAAAAATTACACATATTGAAATATCTATAGAGAAAACAGTTGCAGTTACATATTGAAGAAGGCACTACGGCCTACCAGAAGTAAATTGTTTTTTCAGGAAAAGGCACATCGGCCATACAAAGAAACTTATATTGTCCAAAAAAACAAAAAAGTACAAAAGACATGGGAGTTATGATTCTTCAGCATCAGGAGCAATTTGAATTTGGACCTCGGCGGGTTCTTGAAAAGCTACTTCGGCAACCTTCTCGGCCATAATCTCGGCATCAATTTCGGCAAGTGTTTGATTAAGATTGTCATAGATAGGAGGGACATCAGATGATGCTTGTTCAGGAGTAGCCTCTTTAATAACCTCCTCATCCTCTTCGTGAGTCAAGTCTAAGATTTGATCATCCTGAGGAAGAGATTGGATCTCACCAGCGTCCTTGGGCTTCCTTACTAGAGCATCACCGTCATCGTTATCCTCATCTTCGACTTCAGGCTCAGACTCAGATTCTTCTTCAGCCTGATTTGGAGGAAATGGGAGAGGAACAGCTTCAGCATTGCGCAACGGCGAATCATCTGGGATGTTAAGTTTTTTGGCAAGGGCCATCCAACCAATGGAGAAGCCCCTGTTGCATGCCTGCTTAACTTGAAGTTTATAGTCCTCAGTGACGTCGGCCATGCCCTGGGCATAGGCCTTCTCATCAGCTTCTTCAATTTCGGCTTTTTTTGTGGCCAGAGCCTTTTGAAGCTCTTTCTCAGCCTGAGCCATTTTCGATTTAAACTCCTCCTTTTCAGCTTCAGCAACTTTTCTAATAGCCTCAGCAGACTCCGCTTTTTCTTCGGCTATTTGCTGGGCCTTAGTAGCGGCCTCGGCCTGATCTTCCAATTTCTTCATCTTCGATTCAAAAGATTTACTGTCCTTTTTGAGGGCAGAAATCTCCCTCTTTATGTCAACCACTCTTTGCTGATTTTCAAAAGATTGCATCGAAAATGAATGGGCGTGCTGGATGGCCTGAACGAAAACAGAAGTGTTAGAAAATCTTCTAAGTATGAAGCAGAAAGAAAAGACAAAACAAAGAAACACTTACTTGAACGGAGTGCTGGAGCATTAGTGCGTAGTTTTCGTACTCGCTGTACCCAGCATTTCGCTCCAGATCGCTTGGAAGGAGAAGAGCTGTACTGAGGGCGACACCAACATTAATGTCGTCGGCACTCTCAGTTGACATAATTGGCCTATCCTCCAAAGTCAACTTTGGTGCCCAGGGGACATCAGATTTCTTGGACCCCGAAGTTGTAGCTGAGGCAGACCTCGGCTTCTTTGATTGGGTGGACTCAGAGGGCTGGGTCTCGGCAGACCTTTTTGCAGGAGCAGAAGAAGTCTTCTTACTCTCAGCCTGTTTTGAGATAGCCAAGCTATCCTGTAGACACCCCATTTTTGACCGACCTTAAGACTTAGACGTCACCATTTGAGCGCTCGGTAATACTATGTATCGTGCTCGTTCAGAAGGTTCAGAGTCGCGGCCGTGAGCCCTGCCTCCGGACTTCCGAACCCTTTTCTGTGCCTTGTCTCGGTTTGCGAACCAAGCTCAGTTTTCTCTATTTCTTTTCCTAAGGGGAGGGAGAGGTCCCGTGGACCATCTCTCAGTGGCCGTTGGGCTACGTTTTATGGCCGTAGGCCATTTTGCCCATTTCGGAGTCCGGTTTCTGGTTTTTCGGGACCGTTGGTCGTGTGCCTCGGTTCGGGACCGCCTAACCATCTCCGTTCGCTCTGAATTTCGGCATACATCTTATTTTCTCCCTTTTGAGGGACACTGGGGTCAGAGAAACCCACTTCGTGGCCGAACGCCACTTTCGGTGCTTAACAGCCCATTTTCGGGACCCCGAACTGCGTGTTTTGGCCCCTGAGCATTCGTTTTGCATCGGTTTTTGTTCATCTTTGGCAGGTGGCTCTGTTTTATCACCAGGAAGGTCACTGGAGGGTGGGAGGCCAGCAATTATCTCAGCAACCAGTTATATTCCATTTTCGCCCTCCGACGCCCGTTTTTCGCGCTTCCGAGCCAATGTTGAACACCTTGGAGCCATTTTCTTCAAACCCAAACCACATATTTGTGATGTACACACATGGGAGGACCCTAAAA